TGACAATATGCAGCCTTGATGTACTCCTTTGCTTATTTGGAACCAGTCTCTTGGTCCATGTCCAGTTCTAGCTGTTGCCTCCTGACCTGCATACAGATTTCTCAAGAGGCAGGTCAAGCGGTCTGGTATTCCCATCTCCTTCAGAATTTTCCACAGTTTATTGTGATCCACACAGCCAGAGGCTTTGGCATAGTCAATAAAGCAGAAATAGATGTTTTTCTGAAACTTTCTTGCTTTTTCAATGATCCAGTGGATGCTGGCAATTTGATCTCTGGTTCCTCTGCCTTTTTTAAATCCAGTTTGAACATCTGGAAGTTCCCAGTGCACGTATTGCTGAAGCCTGGCTTGGAGAATTATGAGCATTACTTTACTAGCATGTGAGATGAGTGTAATTGTGTGGGGGTTTGAGCATTCTTTGGCATTGCTTTTCTTTGGGATTGGAATGAAAACTGACCTTTTCCAGTCCTGTGGCCACTGCTGAGTTCTCCAAATTTGCCAGCATATTGAGTGCAGCACTTTAGCAGCATCATCTTTTAGGATATGAAATAGCTCAACTGGAATTCCATCACCTCCACTAGCTTTGTTCATAGTGATGCTTCCTAAGGTCCACTTGACTTCATACTCAGGATGTCTGGCTCTAGGTGAGTGTGAGTGATCACACCATCATGGTTATCTGGGTCATGAAGATCTTTTTTGTACAGTTCTGTGTATTCTTGCCACTTCTTCTTAATATCTTCTGCTTCTGTTAGGTCCATACCATTTCTGTCCTTTATCGAGCCCATCTTTACATGAAATGTTTCCTTGGTATCTCTATTTTCTTGAAGAGATCTCTAGTCTTTCCCATTCTATTGTTCTCTTCTATTTCTTTGCACTGATCACTGAGGAAGGCTTTCTTACCTCTCCTTGCTCTTCTTTGGAACTCTGCATTCAAATGGGAATATCTTTCCTTTTCTCCTTTGCTTTTCACTTCTCTTCTTTTCACAGCTATTTGTAAGGCCTCCTCACACAGCCATTTTGTTTTTTTGCATTTCTTTTTCTTGGGGGTGGTCTTGATTCCTGTCTCCTGTACAATATCACAAATCTCCATCCATAGTTCCTCAGGTACTCTATCAGATCTAGTCCATAGTAGACGAATATATCATTTCTCTGGGATATAATTGTATTATAATAATAGCTAGTCCTTATGATATACTTCTTATAGTCTATACACTTTTCTGAGGAATATACATATATGAATTATCTCATTTTCATACAGGATGCATTCAATTATTATTGTTATCATTATACTCATTTCACAGAGGTACTGACCCAGTACACCTGCTTGTTTCTTTTAAGGATCCCTGGACATTGAAAAGGAGTGATGCAATTACCTAAGTAATTGCTCCTCAGGGAACCCAAGTCCCTCTCTCTTCCTCCACTCACCAGAGCTGATCAGCTTACAAAGAAGGGCACAGGATCCCCCTAGGAAGAGGGAAGTCTTAGAGCCAAGATGGCTGGGACTTGGTAAACTGAGCTCCCTAGTCCCACTTGATGTTCAGAGGTCAGGTCTGCTTGTGGTGAGTACTCAAGCCCATGATCTCCAGCCCTGCCTCCTGAAGCAGCTTTCAGAAGCAGTTGCCAAGAGTCTCAACTCTACCCCCCAATTTGCCCTCTAGATATTTCTATAGTCAGTGACCATCTTTCTAGCTTCCTGAGCCTATGTGACAGGATAAGAGTTTTCTAAACTTGGTAGCAGATGAAGAACAAAATAAAAACATCCAACTATCGTGGATTTCAGAAATTGTTAAGCCATCATACTGTCTTCGGTTGGTCATGCAATGTATATATCTTCTTTATATTCTCATCTGTTAAGTGGAAAGTCCTTGTGCCCTTGTTTCCCTCACAGATATGGTCTGAGTATGAGTGAGACAATGACAAAAATATATCAATATTGATAGAAATGTGGGGACAAACTGACTTTGGATGATTCCTTCTGATAATGCCTGAGGGAGGTAGAAAGAGCAAGGGGTAATAACATTCACTGATTGCTCAAAGCTCTAATTAAACACCTAGAACCACTCTGAGATGTAGGTATTCATATCTTTATCTTTAAATATAAAGAAATGAAGCTTCACAAATGCTTAAGTAAGTAAAGGTACTCTGCACATAGCTTTCATTTCTAATTCTGTTCACTTTTAGAGATGCAGTATGAACTAGATCACATACTTTTCTTTCTAAGGATTTGTTGTTTCTTATGTGTACAATAGACTAAATTATGCCTTTTAACCTCTCTAAAATGAAACATTCTTATCATACAAATCCTAAACTCAGGGGAATAATTGCCTTTTAATATCTTCTTTAAAAAAAACCTGAGTTTTGTTTGAGAAGATTCTTGGGGATAGGAAGAATTCAAAAAAGCAAATAATAATAATAAATAAAGGTAATGGAAAAAAGAAAGAAAACAAAACAGAGCATGAAGAGGCAAAGAGGACAGCTTCTAACAGGAGAGGGGAAACCCTAGATTCATGTATCCTTCAAGACTGTCCCTTCCAATAGCAGGTCATTGGGAGTAAGATAGAGAAGAAATAGGGTGCAGTAGGATTAAGAGTACAGTGAGGCTATACATAGAAGAGCCGCTTTACTCAGAGGTGTGTGCTCAGTTGCATCTGACCCTTCAGTCCTTGGGATTTCCCAGACAAGAATATTGGAGTGGATTGCTTGCCTTTCTCCAGGGGATCTTTCCTACCCAGGGATCGAACCTGAATCTCTTGCATCTCCTGCATGGACAAGCAGATTCTATCCAGAGGCAGACCTATATTTGGTCTTTGAAAGAGTTAAGAAAGTTATGTTGGCCATCTGGAGGTGAGGAGAGAACAGGGAAAAGACCATTACAAGTAAGGTTCAGAAGTATCTCTCAAGTTTCTCAACCAAAGGAAGTTCTGATATGCATGATAACTTCTTGGGGTCAACAATGTGTCCCTGAATTTTCCTGCCTCAAATTTTAGTATAACCCATGACACAGAGTTTTCCCTAAGCTAATATTTACTGAGGTAAACTGCATCAGACCAAGACAGGTGCAAAGGGATCCTGGATTTAGGCAGACAATGGTCTTTTATTTCATTTTTTCTTCTCATATTTTCATGAAGTAAAAATTATGGGAAAAATAAACAATTTTGGTATCACATTACATCAACAGTTTTCACTTCCTCCATTATATTTTTTAGTCTTTGACAATGTAGGGCCTTATATACTCACAGTATAGTAATTTTTTCTGTATTTTATTACAGTTAGATTTTCCATTTAGCCTGAAAAAAGTCCATTAATTCCTTGGGAAATAGCTGAAATGTTACTTTCTGAGGTTAGTTTCCCTCACTCTTAGGATAAAGTAGGTTTGTTCCCTCTAGTTCCTTCTCATTGTACTATGAACTTTCCTTTTGCAGCACTTAACATAATTTAACTAGCTTAGAAAAAAGACCAGGCATTTGGTGACTGCATTTGACTACTTGTAGGAGAAGGTATATTCTTTGACCTGTGGTTGAAAGTTGCCGAGATTTTCTGGGAAGATCAAGGAATCTGTGTTGCCAAGGTCCTATATAGTACATGACCTAAAGAAGTGCTGATTGGTTATAAATGAGCAAGGCAGAAAAGAACTTAATAATAATCATCATATAATAGTGAGATCTCTATATGTTCAGCAGTGCCTGGATAATAGAAAGTTCACATCAGGGAAGTTCAGACAGGATTTTAGCAAGGGTGGAAATATGTGCATGTGCAAACATGTGAGTAGATATGTGTGTGGGTGTGTGTCTGTGTGTTGGATGAATGAGTTGAAAAATGCCTGAAGAGCCTTTCCTACCTTGCCAGACTAAACTCATATTGTTATTTCTCATCTAGACAGTGCTCAGCTTCAAATGGACTCAAATTAGAGAAGTCACTTTATCTTCCCCTCTCTTGCTTTCCTCTCCTGCCCAAGAAAACCTTCCTTGATAGTGTGTTTAGGTTTTCATTTTTGTCACAATGTATTCATTCAATGTGCAGAAAGAAGTCCCAGTGGGTCAGATCGGTTGTCTCTTAGAACTGTGAGTTGAGAGATTGTGAAGACCATCATGGCAGTCTTTTCATGAGCCTGAAAGTCTCCATACTGATACACCAACCTTGGTTCCTACATTATTCTGTCCTTTACACATAACCTGTGAAGGTACTTTCCAGTCCTTTCAAAGCCCAAAACAACTAACACAAGTGTGTCCAAGTTCTATTCTTTTCTAGTATAATTTTTTAGACTCTTGCTCCAGGCTTTGTTCATCACCACTTCTCAGACTTGCTTTGAAACTCACTCAATTATTTATATATCTATATTTGTTTATCAGGTATTTTTCACTGTTTTTATATAGTGACCTTTTGCCTTATATCTAGATACTTACCAAAAATATCTTTATTCCTCTATTACTGACATTATCCCACATCTTATGCTGGGCTTCCCTAGTAGCTCAGCTGGTAAAGAATCTTCCTGCAATGCAGGAAACCTGGATCCAATCTCTGGGTTGGGAAGATTCCCTAGAGGAGGGCATGGCAACCCACTCCAGCATGCTTGCCTGGAGAATCCTCATGGACAGAAAAGAGTCAGATAGGACTGGGTGACTAAGCACAGCAGACAGTATGCTGAGATTGCCTACACGTGCCTTCTCCCCAGCAGCTTTTCAGGCTCGGGCATTTTCATACCAAGACTAGGCAGCCATTTCCCCCTTAGCAGATTCAAGGGGCACTACCATTTATAGGGATAATTTTCTACTAACCTTGAACTTCTTTCTGTTGGATACTATCACCTCCTTGTAAGTGGGAATTTCCTGATTATGATCACCTGTCAGTTTTCAGACATGAGGTATTTAACCACATTAATCTGTGACTTTGTTTTATTCTTCCCTTTCCTTAGTGCCCAGGAGTCATTCTCCACTATCATGTTATCTCATGAGTTTGCTTTTAATGTTCAAGGAAGCACTGATCTTACTGAATGAGATTTTAACATGAGGAACTCTAGTAGTACTCTGGAGTTCCTACCTACAAGGTTCATTCTGGTTGGCATCCCAGGACTGGAGGCAGAGCACATCTGGATATCCATCCCCTTCTGCTTGATGTACATGATCATCTTCCTTGGGAACGGCACCATTCTTCATGTCATCAGGACAGACACTGCTCTACACCAGCCCATGTACCTTTTCCTTGCCATGCTGGCACTGGCGGAAGTCGGTGTCTCTGCATCCACTCTGCCTACAGTGATAGGAGTTTTCCTTTTTGGTATCACCGAGATTAGTTTCAACGCATGCCTTCTCCAGATGTTCTCCATCCATTCTTTCTCCATTATGGAGTCTGCTGTGTTGCTCGCCATGTCTGTTGACCGATTTGTGGCCATCTACAACCCACTGCGCTATACAGCTATCCTAACCATGCCCCGCATTTTTGGCATGGCATCCAGTATTGGGCTGAAAAGCATTGTGCTCATGGCCCCATTGACCATTCTCCTAAGGCGCCTGACCTTCTGTGGCCATAATATCCTCTCCCATTCCTATTGTCTTCACCCCAACCTTATCCATCTACCTTGTGGGGATACTACTGTCAACAATATCTATGGGCTTTTCATCATTTCTTCCACCTTTGGGCTTGATTCACTCCTCATTTCGGTCTCCTATGGGTTCATACTCCACACTGTACTAAGCATTGCCACTGGGGAGGGACGGAGGAAAGCACTCAGCACATGTGGTTCACACGTCTGTGCTGTATTCTCTTACTATGTGCCTATGCTTGGCTTGTCTATGGTGCACCGCCTGGGATATCATGTGTCCCCTTTGCTCCATGCTGTGATGGCCAATGCTTACCTCTTCTTACCACCTGTTGTCAATCCCATTGTCTACAGCATTAAGACCAAGGAAATCCGTCGTGGCATTTCCTGGATGTTATCAGAGAAGAAAGCCAGAGTTTAGACAAAGGACAAAGTAGAAAGAGACTTTTTCTATAACCACAAGTGGTCCCAGCTTGCAGGTTATACAAATGATGTTACCTTAAAATATGATATCTAATGGGAGGTTGGGCTTCCCTGGTGGCTCAGTAGTAAAGAATCCGCCTGCAATGCAGGAGCCTCTGGAGACGTGGGTTCAATCCTTGGGTTGGGAAGATGCCCTGGAGGAGGAAATGGCAACCCACTCCAGTATTCTTGCCTGGATAATCCCATGGAGAGAGGAGCCTGGCTGGCTACAGCCCACAGGGTAGCAAAGAGCCGGATACAACTGAAGTGACTGAGCAACAGGAGGAGGTTATCCGTAATATGTTGGTGAGCAGTAGTTGGGGTGCAAGTGGAGAGGGATTATGTATGACAGAACAGTATAAAGAATTGATGTTATTTTGAAACATGTTGTGCGCAATACTTTGCATAGATGGAACAGGAATGCCAGAAGGATTGTTTATGAAGACATAGAACTCCACATAAGGGAAAAAAGTAATCAGATATTGGAAAATGTCCTGGGAAATCTATTGAGTCAACTGTTCTAGGAAAAGAGAAAGTGCAAGGATTTACATTTTCTTGAGTTGTTGGTACTGAAAGGTTGTTGCTGAACGATAAGACGCTGGGATTCTTGGCCTCTGGAGGAGACGAATTCAATCCGGGGCCAGAGATGAGGCTGGATTGCTCAGAGCTTTTGTGTAATAAAGTTTTATTAAAGTATAAAGGAGATAGAGAAAGCTTCTGATATAGGCATCAGAAGGGGGCAGAAAGAATACCCGCCTCCTAGTCTTTAGCTGTAGTTATATAGTCACTCACAGTCTGTTAATGAAAAGAAAGGAATGTCTTAGAATTTAGAATGGCACCAGATAATACATCCCTGGCCATAAAATGATTGACTTGAATCTTGTAGAAGGGCAGTTTACCAAACAAATAATTTCATTTACATAGATTAGGGGAACAACATCTGAGTAAGTAGGTTAGGCCATTTGGTGGAACCAACTTGAAGATAGATTCTGGGGTACATTAACATAGCTTAAGACAACGTTTCCATAAGAAAAAGAAACTTATTGGTTAACTCAAGGTTTGAGAGTAGTTAGCTTCAGGTGAAACCAGGTGTCATGGCAACACAGCATTTTAAGAGAAACCTCCTTTTAAATTTGTATAGAGAAGAAAAAAATATCGCTGGCTTGTTTCCTCCTGCCGCTTAAGAGAGATAAAAATGTCTGGCACTTGCAGCCTATTTCCTCTGTTTGGAGACCCCTGGCCTTCCTGCCTGTTACCCTCTCAGTACCCAAGCTCAACAGCAGAAGGACATACTGAGTAGCTCGCTCAGAGGAGACTTTGAGTACTGGCTCCAATGTGGCATTCACTCATTCTCACCAAAACTCCCAAGTTGGGAGACTGAAGATTACAAATCTTGTTCATTATGCAGAAGTCTGAAGGTCTCCCACCCATAATGTAGGATCTTTCAAAAAAGAAAAATCCCCTTTGTGGACATTAATATGTTCTTTCTGATTTGATATTTCTTTGCATATATTTGAAATAATGTAAAAATTTAGCATTTATATTTTATGGAAACTAACCAAGACTTTTGAGATGAAAATGTACACTAGGAAGCTTATATTTATTATCTCAATTTCTCCCCACAAAAATCCTATGAATTATGTTTAATGCAATTATTATTTTTCAGGTGAAAACTGATGCTTAGATATTGTAAGTATCTTACTGAAACCTATACATGCAAAAATTAGCAGTGGAATCCAGTTGGATCAAACTCCAGCATAAAAGCCTAAACTATACTGTCAACTAAGCAAGAATTGAAGCTCTTTGGATCCTCTCAGTAGAGAGTCAAATATCATTAACTGAACAAACTCAATGGGTCAGAAAGAAATTATCTTTGTTCACTTATTCCACAAATCTAGGCCTTAGATATAATGTGAGGACAAAAGAAACTAAGCTCCTCATGGAGTTTAGAAACTATTTTTTTTTTTTCTGCCACTACAGGGTTCAAGTTTATGCTTCCCAAAATGGTGTTTAGAGCCAATTTTAAATAATTTTTATAATACCTTTGAATAAAATAAATAAAGTTTTTGAATATGAATTTAATTTTAAAAATCTTTGCTTGTGTTGTATGTTGTAGAGGTGCCAAAAAAATCCAATTTTTTTTTTTTTTTTTTTTTTTGTAAAAGTTAATTCTGTAACTCTACCACCAGGTTTCTAGATACTCTTTTTCGATAGAGTCTGGCCTAGGGATTTCCGTTGTCTGCAACTATATCCTAGATTCACAGCCTGCTGATGGACGGTAGAACTCAGAAGTGAATTATGACTTAGAAATATCAAGTGAAACCAAGCTGGTAAACCCACAGTAAGAGGCATCTCATAGATGACCAGAGAAGTGAGAGAATGGTGGTTCCCTGGGAGGAGAAAGGAATATAGGATACCGTTAGAGTGTCTGGAGAAAGATATTCTGTAGCTAAAAGTTTCAGTAAGAGAGGATGGGACCAGTTTGTCAGGTTGCTTGACATAAAATGAAGATCTTATGTGCTCACTTCCGTTTTCTCTCTCAGATTACATGATGAATCCTCAGGCTTCTAGTATATTATCAATTCTATATTCAAGGCCATAAAAGACATTTATATTCTGTTATAGTCAGAGTTTATCATTAGTTATCAGATCATGGTTAATTTAGCTCTTTCCTAGAAAGAACTCTGTACACCATGCCCTGTCTAGCTAGCTCCAATCTTTCCAGTTTGAATCACTATGTTCCTAATGTCCAGACTCAAACATAACTTCAAGATCAGACAAAATTGTAGAAAATCACACAGTGAAAATAATTTAGAAGTCTCTATATCTGTGCTGTGTATGCTCAGTCATATCTGACACTTTGAGATCCCATGGAGTGTAACCCACCAGGCTCTTCTGTCCATGGGATTTTCCAGGCAAGAATATTCCAGGCAAGTGGATTTCCATTCTCCTCTCCAAGGGATCTCACCTACCCAGGGACTGAACCTGCATCCACTTCATTGACAGACAAATTTTTTACCATATCCATATGGGAAGTCTTTGGGTGTCTATAAAATTGAATAATAAGCAGAATCCAATATGACTATGAAAATATTGTTTGTCTTTATATTTTTCTTCCTTTATATTTATTATCCTAACTTAAAATTTAAACCTGTGACACCACCTTGATTATTTATTCTCTCAACAGGACAAAACTGTGTAATCATATTCAAGTAGGTATAAGCTAAATTACTAATCAGAACACTTTGAAAACTAAATGAAATATAGGCATTTGTACATTCATCAAGGGAATATTGATTTGTTTCAGACCAATCCTTTTGTCAAGAATAATTAGAAAAGTTAAAGAAATGTTTTGCAAATGACTTCAGAGAGCATCCAATGCCAGGAAGATGTAAAGGATGAAATTCCAAATACAAGGGAGACATAGAAGAGTGAGGCTGTTTTTGTGCAGTTCTACCACCTAAGGAATTTGTCAATTCAAAATAATAACTTATAAAAAGAGAAGCACTTACAGCATCCTCAAAGGCCTGTATTGCAAAGGGAAAAAAAATTAGAATACAAATATCTCCAAGAATGAGGGGACTAATAAATGCCAAGGCATTTATTTTATCCCAGAAAATTCTCACCTTAGAATAGAGAAATTTAGAAACAAACTAGACTAACAAACATTTTATTTTATACAATTTATTTATATATAATAAAAAAACATTTTATTTTCTCTTCTTTTTAAAGTCTTTATTGAATTTGTTACAATATTCGTACTGTTTCATATTTTAGTTTTTTTTTCTGCAAGGCATGTGGGATCTTTGCTCCCCAACCAGGGATCAAACCTACACCTCCTGCATTGAAAAGTGAAGTCTTGACTACTAGACCACCAGGGAAGTCCCTAGTTTTCTTTATAAAATCAACTCACTACCTAATTTTACTCTTCTGTCTGTAAGAATTAAGGCAACCAATCAATTCAGTTTTTCAAAACTTCCCTAACTGTATCTCAGATAGTACCAAATCCTAGGAAATCCTTCAGTCACAAATTGGGATGATTGGTCACTCTAACCAGAAGTAAAATTAAATACTCTCAGCAGGAAGTTATTAATTGACACTTCAAATTATTCTCATAATTTTTCATGACATTCATTAAAACCTAAACAAGAATGTAAAGTACAAAATTTGAATATAAATTAAGAGATTAAAAAAGAAAACAATAGGATTAGATCCACAGATGATCCAGGTATTGGGGTTAGCATACACAGACATTAAAATAATTTTGATTAATATAGCCTAGGACTTAAGTTTCAATATGTAGAATTTAAGCAATAAATTGCAAGCTATTAAAAATAAAATGGAAATACTAAAATTGCAAACAGCTAAAATTAAATACTCAATAGTGTTTGTCACTCAGTCATGTACAACTCTTTGTGACCCCATAGAATGTAGCCTGCCAGGCTCCTCTGTC